CCACCCGCCGGGAAGCTCTTGGTTGCTGAACATGGGGGCCGCACATCATTACCCACCGTTGTTGACACTAGCTTATAAACGTCGTCATTCGGGCTCGGGGATGTGTGACGGACAGTCAACACCGTGGTGCCACGTCACGACTGGAAGCTAAACATTCGATGGGGGTTGGAAAAATCCCCAATCCGCTACCTTGCTTTAATTTGTTAACCTTAACGAATGACGTTATTAGCTTTTTTTTTTATCGATGGGAGATTACCACGAACATGACAAACGTACGTGTTAGTCCTACAATTACCGTCTATACGATACTTTGTGAATATTTCTTTGCAGAAATAGAAAACGTGTACAGAAACGTACATGTGCTTCTTGGCACATGTTTCATATTCCGCTTGACTGAGAATTTGATGGAGTAACGGGCTGAAAGTACCGAAACAAGATAGAAGAATAGTAGGAACTCGCAAAGCGGCACAAGCGCAGTTGCTCGGGCGTACATGGGGCGGAATATAAGCTCCGATAAATCCGACTGCGCAGTTAAAAATTGATGTAGTAGTTTCGGAAGTGCATGGGGCCGGCGGTTAAGTCACGTATGTAGTCAACGGTAAACGGAAGCCCATATCAATAAGTATCGGCTGTGTGTATCGGGATCTCTGCGCGCGAACGAGCGGGGGAGGAATTGAGAGGGAGGAAAAGGGGGGGAGATGGCGCGCCGTGTTGTATAGAGAGCTAGTCGATGGGTGGCGGTTCCAAGGCCGGGGGTAAAATAATGGGGGCGGACGCTCGACTCGAAACATTGACGTTGCCCGGCGCGCTTACAAACACACCGACACCAATCGAGCATGGCTCTTCCTACACAAAACCGATGTAGGGGGGCTTCGTTGGCCAGGCGGCCGGTTGGCTTTACAAGGGGAGGGGGGGGAGGAGAGGGGAAGAGAGAGATAGAGAAAGGGAAGGGGGGGAGGGAGAGAGGGAGAGAGAGAGAAAAAGAGAGAGGTAGGAGTAGAGGGAGGGAAGAGTAGAGAACGGACGGTAGAGTATCAAGAGAGGCGCGGAGGGAAGAACACGGAGAGGATGAGGGAAATACGCATATATATCCTTGTACAACGTTCTATGCCATCGATGCGGCTCGTGTTTAACGCCCTTATAAATGTGTAATGCGTATACTTGAAAGTGGGAACGATCGGGACGCGGGACGGGAGGGCGGCAGAGGACCGGGTGTAGGACGTACCCGCAACTCGCCGGGGTGGGCCCTCTGCGTATCGATAAACGATCAATCAACCGGTACACCTATGGACGAGGCCACCGAGGGTAAAAGAGGCGGCGGTGGCAGCGGCGGGAAGGCAGAGACGGTCGGAGGAGAACGAGGAGGAAGTGGTAACGGAGGACGACGTAGGGGTAGGAAGTACAAGGGATGAGAGAACGGTACGATGGTGGGTGAAGATGGGTATGTGAGAGGAAGGATGGAAGGGGTTGAACGGAAACAGCGGCAGTAGGGGCAAAAGACAGAGGAGGCACGAGACGAGCGGGGTGAGGGTAGCGCGGGGGAGGGTGGCGGCTTGCAGAGTATCGACCCATCGCAGAGGAGAAGGCAGCCAGGGTCGCCGTCGCCGGGTTTTGTTGATGTAGGTGTATACGCTCCGCGTATCTGTCTATCTGGATATCTGCACGAAGACGTTACGAGACTCAATCTCGCTGTCGCATCGGCGATACGAGTCTGAATCGTTTCCATGCTTTAATTCCGTTGAGGCATACCACTCGGGAGTGTTCTGCGATTTCTCGAACGTATATGCTATTCAATCTTGACCCTCGGGATTTACTGCTTGTCTGACATGACTGCAATAGAATATGTCTACGATTTCGCTTTAATCTCGGAGGTACATATACTTATACGTCATGAGTCCTTAATAAGAATGTGCATAGTAAGAAGATTTACAGAACTTCTTAGATCATTAATGTCCCTTTAACCTGAAGTAATCTTCATTTTATGGACTTTCACATTCGCCACTACGCTCTCGAGGTATACGTTCCGGCTGAGTATCCAGGAGCAACGAGCTCAATGTCTATATTTCTACGACGTGTTTTCTCTCATCCTCCAATGTGTATCTGAGACGACAGGGAAGCTATTAGAGAAGGAACGCGATCATTGAAGTAGCCGAGTCAAATTATCTGCGGCATGCTCGATGTATATTCTAAAGGACATATCGCGATTCCGTATCACTCATGCACCGTTAAGCACGTTAACGACTTCAAGCTGTCTGAAACGCATCGCGTTCTCAGCGTCTTCAGCGTTGTCATCGTCTTGCTTACCATAAACGACATGTTCAATCGGAGAAGCTCGTTTCGGATGTATCATCACGCGTACATCTCTCTCATTTTTACCTTTCGTATACCCTCACCTGCTCCCACATGTTTCCGCTTCGTTTTAAGCGGCATGCACGCCGCTTAACTCGCACAGAGGGGGAACAATGCACAGCCACCGAGCGTAGCTACGTGGATCTGCCCATTGTGGGGTCAGGTGGGTCGTTGGTCGGCGGAGAGCTCGTTGGCTGGCTCCGCGGGGTGTGGCCATATAACCATAGCCACAACGATTCTCTCCTCCTGTCTCTCTCTCTCTCTCTCTCTCTCT